AATGTTAATAGGAAGTGGTTAAATTTTCACAAACAGTACCGCATGACATTGTATATACAACAGACTGGTTATGTTCTGGTGTCATGGAGCACCATGAATCATTGGCCTGTATGTGACAGCTTGTCGGTGGCAGCTTGTCAGTGATTTTTGTCAGCTCGTCGTCATCAGCTTTACAACACGAAATGTCTGCAGTAATGAACCGTGTGTAGCGTATCGATCACCTGACAGAGTTACATGGCGACACCCGCTCATTATCATATCGAAAGTAGAAGATTTCGGTAGATTACATGTAAAATAATGTCTTATTTAGAAGTATTTTCCCATATTTTGTGCTGTAGCATTTATCAGAGATCAATTCAGTAATAACTATAACTTACACACATGATGTTTACATCCACATACATCGGGACAGATCTCAGTATTGAAGTCAACAGGCCGATCAAGGAAGTAATGAAAGTAGACACTTCATACACTATGCTCAGTCTAAATATTGCAGTATATTAGGTGCCCTGGTTTGAGAATGTGCCTGGAGATGACCTAACAGTTAGATGAACCATTGTAGTGTTACCTGTACACAGTAGGACAGGTGTGTAGCGTTATAACTGGAATAGACGCAGCCCCTGTGACAACACAACACACTTACCTGAGACAGCAAGGTAGCCGGTGTAGAGGGAAACTGAGCACCAGGCGAGATAGATACTACACGTTAGCGGACGTGGTTCCTTCCGGACGAACTCGTGTCGTTCAGGGACAAGCTGTTTGCATGTTACGGAAAAGGACGAGTGATGTCGAATGGGTGATTGTGCTTTGAAATCGCTCTGAATGTCCAGGGTCCCGATTTTAAGATTTATTGTCGCCGTCTTATAGCTGTGATAGTGTTAAGATCACAAACATCACAAACTTCAGGCTCCTGTGATGTAGCTGGGTGACTGCATAACTACACGTTCACGAAGCACATGTTACCTGTTGGTTTGGATTTGATTATTAAATTTGTATCCTGGACAATATTCAGGTCGACTCGTCTGCTCGTCACATGGAAGACCCGGGTTCGATTCCCTAACATTGGCACAATGTATTTAGCCCTTCTCAGGTGTCCCCCGCCGTGATTCTGCTAAGATCAGTGTTAAAACACTCACTAACATTCTGAGGATGGGTAAGACTGAACATTTTTTGCACTGACGTTTAATATTTAAGAGTAAATACAGAAGTATACGGGACGAGAGTTTTGTGGTGTGGGTATCAAAGAAGGCGACCGGAGTACGTCAGAGCTCCTGGACATAACACCCGCACGTTGACCCTCAAGATTACTGAATGATGTCGGTACACTCTCAGACTTGTGTACAGATTGGTCAAGACTGACATGTGGTTAACATCGGTCACGAACCGTATATGCTTCATTCCCCATGGGATTCTGGTTATCAAGGATCAAGGAACATCTGCATGTCGTACGTGGGGACTATATGAATAGGTTCTGTCACTTGGAAGAATAATTATTGTCATACACGGACTGCTTGGGTGCTGCCATAACAGCAACCACTCGTTTATCCGTCCAACACTCGACTATATACAGACTACCGCCATTAACATGTGGCTGGAAAACTGAGTGCTTCGTTGACCATTAAGTAGGCATGTACACTGTATACGAGGGGTTATCAAAACGTTTTGAGCCTGAAATACTTCTGATATATGCATGAAAAAATAACTGTATGATATGGAAGAATGGTTAATGTCATTCACATAAACGTAATGGTGACATGCACATGTCCCTATTTTTCCGTCACGTGACATCTAATCACATGTACCCCTATTGAAACTGCAGAAATGGATGAGATTAATTAGAGAGTATTCATAAAGTTTTTAGTACTCTGAGGCCACCAGGCGAAGCACGTTGAAGAGCGATTAACATGGGACTCAGTTCTCGTACTCCTGTCGATCGCTCTTCAATGTGCCCCTCTTATGTCTATTTACAACAGACCGCCTCCGTGGTGTAGTGGTTAGAGCGTCCGCCCGGAGAGCTGAAGGTCGCGGGTTCGATCCCCGACCGCGTCATACCAAAAGACGTTAAAATATGGTACTTGTTGGTCTCTGCCTGGCGCTCGGCATTAATGGGTACAACAAGGACTGGTCGGCTCGAGTCAGTATAATGTGTCTGAGTGGGGTATACACACACATACATGCACGTCGTCATATGAGCGAAATATTCTCAAGCACGACGTAAAACCCAATTTCACCTCACCAAACTCACCTCACCTATTTACAACACACGGGAACAGCTCAAGTGGTGATACCCCATTCAGGCGTTCGCTGTTATTGCTCTGTAAATACCTCATCACGAGTTATCTCCCTTCCACCACACAGTTGTCAAGTCAATCAGTAACGGGTGCTGATTGTGCTGAACAGAAGGCAGCTCAGACGTATGCCATTTGACCTACATACAACTCTCACACAAAGGTATCATATATCACAAAAAAACAAACATTTTAGTTTGTATACCAGTCTGTGTATCCTTGCAGTTAATAGGTCGTGGTCATTTTGCCTTCTTAGCGTTTTACTTTCATACCATGTTTGCTGCTACTTCATTTCGCGATTCATCTGTGAACATCCGGGTTACAACTGGTCTTCAGTAACCCATGCTTGTTGTAAGAGGCGACTAACGGAATCGGATGGTCAGGCTCGCTGACTTGGTAGACATGTGTCATCGTATCCCTATTACGTAGATCGATGCTGATGATGCTGATCACTGGATTTTCTGGTCTGTTTATTTACAGACCGCCACCATATAGCTGAAATATTGCTGAGTGCGGCGTTAAACAACAAACCAACCAACCAATCCCTCCGTGATTCATGGCAGTTCGTGGATAACAAAAACACATGTCCACATTTCTCATCAAAGTGTAAACATCACAATACAGAAATACGCACAAATGAAACTGTGGCAGTATTTATTGCCAGTTACAAGTTTTCAACAAGTAGATACAATTCCTGGATGATTAAGTATACATGTAAATACATATATATGGTGAGGCTACACTACCACTAGTCGTGAGGCTACACTACCACTAGTCGTGAGGCTACACTACCACTAGTCGTCAGGCTACACTACCACTAGTCGTCAGGCTACACTACTACTACCACTAGTCGCTACACTACCACTAGTCGTGAGGCTACACTACCACTAGTCGTGAGGCTACACTACCACTAGTCTAGTCGTGAGGCTACACTACCACTAGTCGTGAGGCTACACTACCACTAGTCGTAGGCTACACTCGTGTCGGGCACTACCACTAGTCGTGAGGCTACACTACCACTAGTCGTGAGAGGCTACACTACCACTAGTCGTCAGGCTACACTACCACTAGTCGTCAGGCTACACTACCACTAGTCGTCAGGCTACACTACCACTAGTCGTCAGGCTACACTACCACTAGTCGTCAGGCTACACTGCCACTAGTCGTGAGTGTGATACAGGGGGATCTCCTTGATGCTTGTTGGTTTCAGTGACACATGGTCCAAGACTTGCAGGGCACCAGTCACACACACACGGACATCTGTCTGGACAGACAGAACTGTTCCTTCATCACTCATCATGGACTGCATCATGGTAACTGACACATGCCCTGACTCACTGACATGTCCAGTGTAAATACAATATGTCCTTAACCTTGATATCAGCCAGGCAGTATTTGATACACACTACATCATGTTAACTGACACATGCCCTGACCCACTGACAAGTCCAATGATAATACAATATATCCTTACCCCTGAGGTTCAGGCCAGGCAGTATTTGATATATGGAACTGACGCATACCCTGACTCACTGACATGTCCAATGTAAATACAATATATCCTTACCCCTGATTTCAGCCAGACAGTATTTGATATACACTACATCATGGTAACTGACGCATACCCTGACTCACTGACATGTCCAACGTTAATACAATATATCCTTACCCCTGATATCAGCCAGGCAGTATTTGATATACACGACAATATAACAATGGTTAATGGTCAAACCTAATTCTGAATTTCAACACACCGTTTGTATTATTACTGTTTTCAGACAAATACTTAGTAGCCCAAGGTGATCTTGAACAGCTGTCTTGTATGTTGCCAAGTACATTATGTATATCTACACATCAAGTCTTTGAATGGCATTTAGAAGTGATACACATAATGAAGAGAGTTTTATCGATGTCAACTTCTTTATTATGAGGAACACAACGTTTCTTAGTATGTCCTTACTCCTTCATCAGCTGAAATATTGATACGAGACAGAGAATATATAACTGTACACGTCGCACTAAACACTGCATATATCTATTTATAACACACAAACACGAACACACACACACACACAAAACAGAAATTGTGAAAGAATAGGGCCTTGGGTAGCCCAGTGGTTAAAGTTTTCGCTCGTCACGCCGAAGACCCGGGTTCGATTCCCAACAAATTGCAATGTGTGAGTCCCACTGCTGAGGTTCCCCACCCACACCCCCACCCCTTGCTGGGAAAGTGCTAAAAGCAGCGTTAAACCGCAACTAACTCACTGAAATAAAATATTGATTCGTTCTCCGTATTTGTTTTGCCCTTGATAAATATCTCATCACGATTTATCTCCCTTTGACCACTCAGTCGTCAAGTCAATCCAATGCACCTGCTCCACTACAAAGACAGCTGAATGTTCTGTGCATCACAACACGTCACGAGTTGACAAAGCAATGCATGTATCTATTGTTTATGTGTGCAATAGTAGTTTACTGTATATACTTGGTGATCGGTTGGTCGCAACGGCTGCTAAACACTGACTGCATGCTCAGACAGCTTATCCTCCACAGCTTGTTACCTTCTGAGTCAGCAATCACAAGATCGGAACTTTCCTTGGCATAAATGTGATCAGAATAACGTAATATGATGCGGTGAAAGTGTTGCAAAGATTACTGCCTGATAATGCATATCACACAACATATCTGTTTAGAAGACAATAACAGGTGTTTCATACATCGGTATTTTTATTCCAAACATGTCAGTACATATACAACTCATAGTCTTGAAACTTCATTAACTAAAAAGTGACAAAGACGTTTTTCCATCCACAATATGTCTCTGCTAAAAGCAATCTTCCGACTATATTATGAGCACGTGTTTAATTGTTTGTTTGCATGTTTAACCTCACACTCAGCTGTATGACTGTGCTCTCTACTTTTACATCGAATTCACTTAGATTCCAAGATTTCAAATCATTATGCAAACACAAAATAGCAATACTCTACTCTAGTCTATAAACCATATGATTTTAGTAAGACATATATCTGATTAGAAAGCACAAGTGCGGAATATTTACATCGCATCACATCGCATCGCATCGCATCGCATCGCATCACAGGCTGTGTCCTTCTAAAACAGGTATGATTCATCACACTCACGTAACAAGGTATGGATAATCTGCCAGAGTGATTAGAATCCAGTGAGTGAGTGAGTCAGTCAGTCAGTTGATATTTGACGTCACGTCACTAGAATATTATCCATATCGTGAAGAAAGCAAATTACACATTATTCAGTACAATATTTAGACTATAAGAACACGAAATGCCTTTTTAAAAAGGCAACATTGGGGGCACATTAGTAAATTAAGAAATGTAATGATGACGTGATGGAATGGAATGGATTTTCCGATTCTGCAATTCGAAATTATGTCCTGAACTAGTACAAGTGTGTTTATTACGTGTAAAGCGTTTTGAATTGAAAGTGTATTGGTTTTACACAAAATCTCTCTCCTACGAGGAGTTCCGTGCGACCAGCATAGTGACGATTCGTCACAGTTTGCACATTCCATTCATTATATTTTATATGTTTCTGAACGCTATATTTGACGAGTCTGCACATCTAATTAAACTTCTGTGATAGAATACTTTACTTTCACTGAGAAAATATCCTAAAAAGTCTGACACTATTTCGATTTGCGTAGCGATCCATTGTTGACAAACGTTGTGCGATTCCATATGCTGTCATCGAAGCCCTGTGGAAAGCAACCGATGCAGTCACTTTGATGTATAAATATGTATTGCTATAAAAATTAGTGTCGCAGTTGTAGAAGATTATTTATATAACAATGTAAAACAATATGAAGAGCGCATCGAAAAGCTTGCATTAGGCCAGTCCCTTCTGATTTACAAATATGCGTGTTTGTTTACAAACAAGTGAAAAGTGCGGTCACGTGACATGCAAATTAGCGTGTGACAGTGATGTTATGCTAAGTCATCGCTGCGCCGGAGTGTGATAGAAAACCCGATTTCCGCACTAAAGTGAGACACATATTACGGATTACCCACATGGTCACGTGGCTCCTATTCTGATAGAGCTATATTCATTGGTCATTTGGAATTACCGAAACACAAAGAGACTAAGTATCATTGGCTGAAAGATACTTTGAATATTCTAAGTGTAGATATAGGGAGGAATTTCACCTGAGAGAAAATTCAGCCTGATTATAAAGTTGGAGGCGTTTGTGTCTCGAACCAATAAACACCAGAGTAAATGTGATATCACAGTTCTCAGAGTGCATTACACGTAGATCCCGCCGAGTAACATATAACTATGTCACTTTCAAAGGAAGGATTGTGACATGTTCACTCACTTACAGCATGCAAATACCTTCACTACATCTGATGTACACAAGTACATACGACCACTCCCACCAACACACAGTCCCCATGGATTCTTGACACCATCCTGTGATGTAAGTATGTTTCTAACAAACTGTCCTGACTCTGCCAGATTGGTGACTCTGTGTTGTGAGTTGTCTGTCACCAGGATGTCGCCTGTGCTGGTACTTGTGATACCACGTGGATCCTTCAGTGCTGTGTCTCCTGTAGGTCTGTAGTTGAACACCACATCTCCCTCGGGGGTCAGACACACGACACACTTGGTTCCCCAGTCAGACACCAGGATGTTTCCTGTCCTCGTGGTACAGAGGAAGTTGGGATACTTTAAGATGTCTCCACCTCTGTGGCGAGGACAAACTGACTTCAGCACGTGTCCCGACATATCCAGGATATCAACACAGGGAGGGGAGTGGGAACTTGCTGCTAGTGTTGATGGTGTCAGAGACGTTATACCCCAGTACTGTTTGCTGGTTGTGATGGTCGACAGCAGCACCAGGTCAGGGTTCACTTCAACTGTTACAATCTGTCTGGTATCCAGCACAGTGACAGCCACCTGGTTGTGTTTCAGCCTTGTTATACCACATGGTCTACCTCCCACACTGAGCTTGCTGTGACCTGGCTGACTGTCCTGGTGTAGAAGGACTTTACACTGTTGTTGTTGTAGTCTGTAACTACCACTGTGTCTGTACCATTCACCTCTAACACCGTCACGTCACGGGGGTCTCCTCCATCTGCATCTCCCTACGTTAATGGTGTCCTGTAACACAGGGTAGCCTCAGGTCACGGTTAATGGTGTCCTGTAACACAGGAGCAGCCTTCAGGTCCAGCACATTAATGGTGTCCTGTAACACAGGACCAGCCTTCAGGTCCAGCACATCGTCATACTGGACGTGTATCTCACCCAGATGGAGATCTTCCAGTGCTCTACTCAGCTTGTCCGTGTCCTGTCTGAATGTTATCCTGTCTATTCTTCCCTTCTCCTTCACGTCTACGACTCCGACAGCCTCCACATCACCGGCCTCACATCCCTGATACATCTCATACACATCCATGTCACACTCAGATTGTAGAGCCTGGTCTATCAGCTCAGTCTGTTGTTGGTACATCTGTACTGACATCTCACCTGACTTTATGTCTGCCTTCAGTTGTCCAATGTGTCTGTCAGACATCTCTTTCAGTTCAGACAGAAGTTTCCGTTCCTTGACTTTGATCATCTGTATTGCTGTCAGACTTGCAGACTTGATATTTGATTCTATTTGTAGGTGCCATTTCTTCATGGACCCTTGAGTTTTGTTTTCTGACATGTGTTTTCATCTCATCGTGTTTCTTTAACAAATTCTCTTTATTCCTTTTCAGCTCGGTTTTCATTGCAGGAATCTCTGGCTCAATTTCAACAACCAACTCACATGTCCTGTGATGGATGGTGCAGCATGTTTGACAAACAGCTGTTTTGCAATCTTGGCAAACATATTTAAGATTCACGTCCTTGTGAACTTTACACATGACCTTTCTCTTGACCTTGACCCTTGTCTCACCAGACAGGTCAACTACGCCATGGTGACCTGAAGAGGGAATTCGCTGGTGCATCCGTGTACATTGTTCACACAGTGCGTCGTCACAGAACACCAAGTTGTAGCTTGAGTTGTCTCCCCTTCGTCCTTACAATACATGTAGTTGGTTGTATCTGAAAGAACCATTCATTCATGTGGTGATATTAACCTGGTGACATCACAATGTATTTTAGGTGCTAGATGTGGCGCATTATGTTCCTACCTCGAGGAGATGAGAAAATGTATCGAAAACATCGCAACACGTCTCTGCCTGACGTCATGTAAATATTAAAGTCGGGTTATACGGATCATGAATAATGTTTCTAAGATAAACTGTGTGTCATGTCACCTGTGACATACTGTCTCTTGCTCGTGAAACACATATCTACGATACAAGTGCACATTTCTCACAAACAAACAGTTTTTTTATCACAGGATCCAAACAATACTTAATACATTCATAAATTACTTTTGGGATTCTTAAAATTGATTATACTGTTTCCTGTTAACAAACAAGACGTATATTGATACAACCCACAAACACTGACCTTTAGATCAGGGGCCAAACGAGTCCAACAGTCCCTGGATGACAAAGAGAGCCTTGACGTCATCTGCCCACTCCTCCACTGGTCCCTCGGGGTCAGACACTTTCGTCACCTTCCTGCAGAATGGACACAGGAGAGACTTGGCACTGAGGGCTTCTAGTCTGGTTTTGGTGTAGTTGACGACACATTTCCTACAGAAAGTGTGATTACACACAAGTTTACAGGGCTTGTCAAGCACCTCTGTACATATGGTGCATGTCAGGATGTGTTCTGTCAACTTCTGGGAGGTCGCCATGTCTCCTACAAAAACACAATCCAGGTACGACATAAACTATCCGCTATCCAAGCCACAACATTCTTGACGCTGTTATAAGATAAAGATGCATCCCTAAGCCATTAGATTCCGTATTTTGACTTGCGGTTATTCTTGTTGATGATAACGGTTAGGCATGCAATGGAGACAGAAAGTCGTGAGTTACCAGGAAATCAGATTGTTGGACTTGCTCGTATGCTGCGGAAGTTAGCGTACGAAGCTTACATGAACTAATCAGTGGAAAGGGGGTCACCAATCCGTGCTGGTCGATATTCTTTCAATCACGACACAGATAAGTTCACGGTCATACACAGCTTTGACGAATCAAAACGATATTTTGAAACATGTGATCAAGATCAGCCCAGGCTGGAACCATTTAAAAAGATAAGGTTAACACTGGGAGAGCAGTACGAGAAGGGCGAGCCCCTGCCGCTTGACGGATGCCGATCCACGTCATTCAGTTCCCATTGTGCAAGCCTACAATGTCTGGTGTTAAAGTTGTAGTTAGAGAGATGGACTGAGGCAGAGCAGGGATAATCTACATATATAGTCTCCCTGGGCAGAGTAAATCTATGCGAGTATAAAACCTGGTTTACTACCCACGTGGTCAACGTATGGGTAGTTGCATACTAATCTCGTACGTCACACGAGTGTCGTATCGCGATGACCTGTGTCGTAATGACTTGACCTGAGATTCTAACGACTGGATTGGATAACCGATGATCTCTCAGTTAAGTCACGTTGTGACGGAACTACATGTTTATTCATTACAAACACGTGAATTCATTCATCCTACAACTTATATGCATTGTGGGAATGTAAACATTGGGAACGTTGCCGTATCGCTGTTTAATTGTGAGTCGAACTGAGAAATTATATCCGTCGAAAAACATAAACGCAAAGTTTCCAACAGTGATGTCAGCCGAGTGAAACAATAGCAAACCAAGAAAAGGGGTGCTACGGAGTAAGCTGGGCCCCCCACTCTCCTACCCAGAGTTCCTTGCGGCAAGCCAGCATAGTATCTCTGCCACAGGCCAGAAAAATGTGACGATTCGTCACATCTTGCAATGTCCATTCAATATAATGTACAGATTTCTTTTACTCTTTTATTTTTGACGAGTCTACACATCTAACTAATCATCTTTAATAGAATGGTTTCGTTTCACTGAGAAAATATCCAAAAACATGTAACACTATTTCGATTTGCGTAGCGATCCTTTGTTTACATATGTTGTACGGCTCCACGTGCTGTCGTTCTAAATCTAAATACCTACCCATATGATATTGTATTTAAACGACTGTATGTTCTCTATATCATTCTGTATGATTTTCGAGAATGAACTATTCTGTTCTGTTCTGTCATCGAAGCCGACGGATAGCAAACGATGCAGCCAGTTTGTTAAGGATAAAATTTAATTTGGTTTTTACCGGTAAACTGATCCGGGCTTTGTTTATGTTGCCGCCGGTAAGGATCCGGATTTTAAGTGGTCCCGGCCGGTAGTTTGATCCGGGCGACTGAGGTCGACTAAAGCACATGGCTGGTGTCACTGCGGTGATTCAATTTTGTAGAGGGTCAAGGGGCCAAGAAAATTTGTAAGTAGTTGATGGTTATTATTTATATTGATGAACATTGTTGATAGGGTCACAAAGCGTGTTAAGTTTGATGAATTTATATGAGTTTAGAATAATTTCAGTTTTGTCATGTCAGGCACGTGGGTTCGTGTTCCATATTTTCGTTATATTTACAGATACATTGCATTTATCTGAGTAGTCAAGATATTGATTTAGCAGTGGAAATTGTTCAGCTGTTTTTTTATAATTGTTTATTTTATTTATACAGTTTGAACCGTATCAAGTTGAATTCTACCTACGCTGCGGCGTCATGTAAAGAGTCTGCGGACAATAATTCAATAAACGTGTTCAAGATGAAGGCCCGACTATGTTTTAACCTCTGCAATACAGTTTGATATCTAAATATGTACTGTCATAGACCTAACTGTCGCAGTTGTAGAAGAATATATATGTAACAATGTAACATTATGGAAAGAGCGCCGAAAAGCTTTCGTGAGTCCAGTCTCTTCTTATTATGAATATGCGCATTTGATTAAAAACAAGAGAAAAGTCCGGTCACGTGATATGCAAATTTGCCTGTGGCAGTGATGTTATGTTAAGTCATCGCTGTGCCGGAGTGTGCTGGGCCCCCCATTCGTCACCACTCGCCCCTTTCCGTAACCTGCATTCGTCACCACTCGCCCCTTTCCATAGTATTCGGCTTGTCCCGGAATAACACGAGTGGGTCACGAATGCTGGGCCCCGTCTCGCATATCGCAATATAGCTTTGTCGAACGTTAGCGCGCGCAAAGGGAGCCGGGAACCAGCTTAGCTACGGAGTAGTTTACACTCTCCTACCCAGAGTTCCATACGTCCTTGTGCTAAGTCATCACTGCGTCGGAGTGTGAGTAGTTTACTGTAGGAGGCTGTACGAGGCGATGACAACTGACATGCATCGTGACGTCTGTTACCAAGGCGACAGACGAGAAAGGCGTAGTGACGTCAATACAGTGTGACGTCATGCAAAACATTCTTCAGCAACCTCTTTATGAAACGGGTTTCGGTTTGAAACCAAAAAAATAACAAAAATACGCTATTTGGTCAATTTAATGCATGTAAGACGTGGGTAATAAATAAAATACCACACTCGGTCTCATTACATACGAATTATACGAAACTCGTGACCTTCCTATGTTTTCTGACCTCACTTTAGCTAGGTCAGGTACCGAAAGACACACGTTTCGTATAATTCGTATGTAATGAGACCTCGTGTGGCATTCTCTATTTATCTTTGAGTGTATGTGTCACGGTGATCCGGCACCTTACTCCTGGACAACGGACCAACCGGGTGTAGAGCTTGATCTCACTTCTCTCTCTGCATTGTCCTTGTATGCCGATGAGCGATTGGAACTTTTATCCGAATGTACAAGACTTTTAGGTGTTTTTTGTTGTTGAAAAAGTTAGTTTTATTCTAGCTTGTCCAGATGTATCGTTTTTATCTGCCAAAATCTGCCTTAATAAGCGTACTGCAAATTTGTATATATGTTCTTTAATATAGATGTTACTCTTTTTATTGTATTTGTAATATTCACATATCATACTCTGTATATATTTTGACACAACTGTCTCTCATAATTCCGTGCGAAATGGCTCAACTTTTAACTGTGATATAGTTGTTTATGTACTTATCTGTTTTTGTATCGTGTTGAGGCAAGACAATGTGGAACGGCCATAATTAGTAGGTATCTGGAGTAGGGTCTGCTGACGCCCGAACTCAGTTACAACAACAACAACAACAACAACAACAACACCAACAACGACCATATTTGTAGTCCTGGGCCCCGTCCATACTTTAACATAGACTTACGACTGTCGTAGCGCTACAATCGCTTTGAGGAACGGGGCCCTGATTTACTGACAGGTCTAAAAGTAGAACAAGCTAGGCCATGTGATCCTGCTCTTGACATAATGAACGAATGAAAACATAATTTCAGATGTATGAAAGATCCTTTCAACAATGAGAGCTATCTGGTGTGTGCGTGTGCGTGTGCGTGTGCGTTTATCTCTCTGTCTGTATGTCTTTCTTTTTTCCTTCCTGATCAAAAATAAAACATAGAACAGCCATTCCATCACATACTTCACGTTATACACAAACAATCCTGTATTTTAGAAGCGTTAGAAGATGGATATAGTATGAAGGGAAGTGATTGGTTTCTGTTGGTTTGATTCTGTCCATCTTGTGATTTCTCTACTTTTACCTGACGTTGATAGTGGAATGAAACATTGATACTGTTGAGCTACAATGAGAATGATAAGAGAGAAAGTATGGGAGGAAGGGACACACATTATGTGAACACTTAAAAACGTTTTGATTGATAAATTAAAGTTTGTACACATTTGAAAATACATTCATTCTGTTGAATATCTGGAGTTCCAAGTAACATTAATGACAGTGTGATTGTAGAATCACATTTTACAATACTTTTCAAATTTAACATTAATGTCTGAATGTCATACAGTTTACATTCTAATAGGAAGTGATGTCCAATGTTACAAGCATTACCGCATGGTATTGTATATTTAACAGACTGGGTATATTCTGGTGTCACGGAGCACCATGAATCAGTGGCCTGTCAGTGAGCAGTTTGTCAGTGATTCTTGTCAACTCGTCGTCATCAGCTTTACAACACGAAATGTCTGCAGTTATGAACCGTGTGTAGCGTATCGATCACCTGACAGAGTTCAATGGCGACACCTGCTCGTTACGATATCGAAAGTAGGAGACGTTAAGTTCGGGTTCCGCTACATTAGATGTAAAATAATGTCTTATTTGAAAGTATTTTGACATATCTTGTGCATTTAATTCAGAGATCAATTGATTAATAACTTACACACATGATGTTTACATGCACATACATCGGGACAGACCTCAGTATTGAAGTCAAGAGACCGATCAAGGAAGTAATGAAAGTAGACACTCCATACACTGTACTCAGTCTAAATATTACAGTATATTAGCTGGAGATGACCCAACAGTTAGATGAACCATTGTAGTGTTACCTGTACACAGTAGGACAGGTGTGTAGCGTTTTAACTGGAATAGACGCAGCCCCTGTGACAGCACACTTACCTGAGACAACCAGGTGACCGGTTTAGAGGGAAACTGAGCACCAGGCGAGATAGACCCTAGGTAACCGGTGTGTAGAGGGAAACTGAGCATCAGGCGAGATATATCTTTGAGGGTTGTGGACGTGGTTCCTACACATGACCTTTCTATTCACCTTGACCCTTGTCTCGCCAGACAGGTCAACTACGCCATGGTGACCTGAAGAAGGAATTCGCTGGTGCATTGTGTACATCGTTCACACAGTGCGTCGTCACAGAACACCAAGATGTAGCTGGAGTTGTCTCCTCTTCCTCCTTGCAATAACTGCAGTTAGTTATATCTGGAATAACCATTCATTCATGTGGTGATATTAACCTCGTGACATCATGATGCATTCTAGGGCTACGTGTGGCGCGTATATTAGTACAACCCACAAACACTTATCTTGAATGTTTAATTCAGTCAGATAATCAGGTCTTGATAATCTGCCAGGGAATAACCGTTGAGTTGTTTTTTCGCAATACGTACTGGTGCAAAAGTTTACAAATACTCAGCCACAGACAACAGGGACCTACCTGAGGCAGTAGCTGACGTAACAAGGCCAGGTGTGATATAACTTTGTGGAATTTATCAACGGTATCAAGGGTAATACACATAATGCAAAGTGCATCCTCTGCACACAGTTCCCGTAAAGAAAACTAGTTCGAATTGGTTGATACCGGAGCTTTGTGTGTCAGGTTCCATAGATCCGAATACGGATGATACGAGTTCTGCAGATCCGAATGTGGATTAGTACAATTCACACAGACGCATTTCTGTTACCTCACATTCAGACAAGTTCCTTTTGTGACAATAGTCAGGAAACAATAAACGTACAGGTGAAGGCAGGTGAGAAACTTGAGTTTTCAATAGCTACAACGATATGCATTATCCTTTCTGCCCTGTCTACAGTCATGACATTGTGTCTCAACAGGTGGGTCGTTGTTGATTGCTTGGGACTGTCCTTGTCTTACACAACCACTCATCTCCCACAATCGTCCACACACTGTTGTATTGTATTATCACCTTGGTGCAATGTGTCTATTTACAATCAGATCCTCCTTTGTCCCAAAAAGCAGTACACAGTAATTATATTTTTTGGTGGGTCGTTGTTGATTGCCTGATTACTGATAAATATTTTACAATGAACATCGTGGAACAATACGATCAATGTGGCTGCTGTCTGAAGTGGTTGCCAAGTGGGATAACCAACAAACCATTTACTACCTTCCTCACAGTAAGCTTGGAGTCATGATGGACCTGATGGAGCAGGGCCCTTGCTCCATGTGACTGTTGTCTGAAGTGATTGCCAGGTGGGATAACCAACAAACCATTTACTACCTTCCTCAAGGTTAGTTTGTACCTTCTGGGAACTATGTACCGCATAAACTCACATATCAAAAGATGCATAACTGTATAAAGACGGGTGCATACTTCTAATGTTTCAGGACAGTTACAGCAGATATGATAAAACTCCTCAATTTTCAACCTATATAGCTGCGGTCCGTAAATACGGAGTCGGTATTGACACTTCTACCGTTATCTACGTAGTTTTTAAGTATTGTATACATAATCTAAAAACATCAACTCCTGAGACCATCAAGTCTCGATTAACTACTGAGACAGACTCCACTGGCCAACTCGCGTTGATCATTATATGAACGGATAACAAGAAATTATTCCTGGCATAAGGTGTTAGTAAAAAGGGTAGACATGGCTTTCCCTATGGCTTGCCCGTTCAATGTTCACAAGAAAACTCTGACAAGAACAGGGTCCATTGTGATCATGTTGTGAATCTTTACTAGAGATGTTCATCAGGTGTTCATGAAAATGTGAGCATATCCTGTCTCACCTGTGAGACCCGTCATAAACACATGCAAAGGCAGGTCAATTGGTTACCTCAATGACATATGGTAGAAGTAGAGAACCACAGAGGGCCTGAATTTTATCACAGATGTTGTTTTGATCAAAACCTTGATCTAATATATTTTGAGCAAGAGTTCATTGACCTTAAATCATCGAAACAGTGACCCTTCGTGATACATCTGACTCCAGCGATCTTCCGGTGGTCATGCCACCTATATATCTGGACATTTAATACGACTGATGTAAGCTTTCCATACTCTTTTACATATCTCAACATAAACTTTATGAAAGAAAGACACATGCAATGTTAATCAATAGACATATTCAACACATACTTAACAGCATAAACATCTTTGAGATGACCCCTTGTGCCTGTAGGCAGCACATGCATTCCATATTCCATGCCATGTGAGTTGACGGGGCGTCGTCTATGGTCTGATCTGTTGTTTTTCAGCAGCTATTTGAGTTTTGCCCGATTTTACTTGCAAACATGCTTATCTGTATATCCTATTGCGCATCCCACTGAACGCCCAGTTAGGCCGCCGAGGGTTGTTTAGACATATGCTATTTCCAATTGTGTAAATTGTAGTGATACAGAGTATCTATTTCCGACAGTACTTTAATAGGGATGCAAATATTTAGTGGCCATGACGTAATGTGCTAACCAGAACGTTCAGCATCTCCTCGATTGTTTTGACACAGCAAACTTCACACGACATTAGCTTTTATGTTTAACAAGTTGTTCCAATAATCAAATGTTTGAAAGATGTTTTAATTCCACTTGTCGAAATGGTGTCTGTGAATATGTGAAGGGTTGTTTAAAGGATTACGGTTAGTCGTTGAGACTGGGTTTAGGGGTTACATGCGCTGGACCCTTGCTTGACTCCACGTGAGGAATCGTAGTTAACGTGGGCCAAGAAGTCTGTGCTTGCCTCTTAGTGAAAAATCGCGGTTAACATGACCTCCTAGTGGGGAATCTTGGTATATATGACCTCCTATTGAAGAATGTTGGTTCAGATGGCTCACGAAACCTAAGCTTGTCTCAAGTGAAGAATCTTGGTTAATATGACCTCCCAGCAAGGAATATTGGTTGCCTGCTGTACGTGGCGACTATATGAGCAGGCTCCGTCACATTGAAGATTAATTCTTGTCATACCCCGACTACTTGGATGCTGCCGATAATAGGAATCACGGGTTTATCCAGTCCACACTCGAGTATTTAAAGATATCGTCATCAGCAGCACTGATGAACATCAAGGAATGCATTCTGGAATTATCTATTTACAACACAAAAAAGTGTACACTTTGTGATAAAATAGTCATTCGTTCGCTATATTTTATGGCTCTTCATATACATCCCATAACGACTTATCTCCCTTTGACCGCACAGTTGTCATGTCAAACCAACGTACACGCTCCACAACAGAGCAGTCGGATTGTGCATCAAAACACGTCACAAGTTGGCAAAGCAATTTGTGTGTGTGTGTGTGTGTGCAGTGGTAGTACTGTATCTAAATGGTGATCGCTTGGCCACAATGGCTACTCTAAACTGCTCCATGCTCCAACTAGATGAAAAACGATCCTGTATCGAACACTGATTTAACATCAAAGATGACTCCCCTTTCAGGCAAATCACACATGTCTGTTTAGGAAAGAGTAACAGATGTTCTGGTTTATCACAAACATGCCATACAACATGCAACCTATTTAGTAAATTCAGTATAAAATTGCTCATCAAAGTCACTTAGATTAAACTCAAAATATCTATATTATATATGATTTTGTACCGTACAGTGTTATTGAGACAATGTATCTGAACAGAAAGCAGAAGTACCGGCTATAACTGAGGGTATTATTTCATATTAAACTATAGGACCTACACATTCTGGTCAGGACCCACAACGTTTGATGGTTTTGGGTCCTTAGGGCCTGCAGCTTTCATTGTTTCAGTGCAAACATTGTTTATATTGTATTACATTATAGTGGGTGACAGAGCATGTTTTTATGCCGCTTTTAGCAATATTCCAGCAGGGGGACACCAGGAATGGGCTTTACACATTGCACCCAAGTAAGGAATCGAACCCGGGTCCTCGGCGTGACGAGCGAACGCTTTAACCACTAGGCTACCCCACCAACACTCATTACAATACAAGCTGTGTCTTTCTACAACAGGTATGATTGTACGTTCACGTCAAATGTTCCTACAGTGCATCACATCATATCTATCCAGGTAACATATATCTATATTTAACATACAGAAAGGGATTGTGACATGTTCTCTCACTTACAGTATGTAAATACCTTCACTTCACCTGATGCACACAAGTATATACGACCACGACCACCAACACACAGTCCCCTTGGATACCGGGCACCGTTCTGTGACGTCATTACGTTTCTAACAAACTGTCCTGACTCTGTCAGATGGATGACTCTGTGTTGTGAGAAGTCTGTCACCAGGATGTCGCCTGTGCTGGTACTTGTGATACCACGTGGATCCTTCAGTGCTGTGTGTCCTGTAGGTCTGTAGTTGAACACCACATCTCCCTCGGGGGTCAGACACAAGACACACTTGGTTCCACCGTCAGACACCAGGATGTTTCCTGTCCTCGTGGTGCAGAGGGATTTGGGACGATCTAAGATGTTTCCATCTTCGTGGTCTGGACAAACTGACTTCAGCACGTGTCCCGACATATCAAGGATATCAACACAGGGAGGGGACTTGCAACTTGCTGCTAGTGTTGATTGTGTCAGAGACGTTATACCCTTGTACTGTTTGCTGGTTTTGATGGTCGACAGCAGCACCAGGTCAGGGTTCACTTCAACTGTTACAATCTGACTGGTACCCATCACAGTGACAGCCACCTGGTTGTGTTTCAGCCTTGTTATACCATAGGGTTCACCTTCCACACTGAGCTTGCTGTGACCTGGCTGACTGTTCCTGGTGTAGAAGGACTTCACACTGTTGTTGTAGTAGTCTGTAACTACCACTGTGTCTGTACCATTCACCTCTAGCATTGTTACGTCATGGGAATATCCTTCATCTTCATCTCCTGCTACTGTCACGTTAATGGTGTCCTGTAACACGGGAGCAGCCTTCAGGTCCAGCACATCGTCATACTGGACGTGTATCTCACCCAGATTGAGATCTTCCAGTGCTCTACTCAGCTTGTCCGTGTCCTGTCTGAATGTTATCCTATCTATTCTTCCCTTCTCCATCACGTCTACGACTCCGACAGCCTCTACATCACCGGCCTCACATCCCTGATACATCTCATACACATCCATGTCACACTCAAATTGTAGAGCCTGGTCTATCAGCTCAGCCTGTTGTTGGTACATCTGTACTGACATCTCACCTGACTTTATGTCTGCCTTCAGTTGTCCAATGTGTCTGTCAGACATCTCTTTCAGTTCAGACAGAAGTTTCCGTTCCTTGACTTTGATAACCTCTATTGCTGTGACACTTGCAGACTTGATATTCGATTCTATTTGTACATAACGAGCCAATTCTTCACCAACTTTGAAGGTTTGTTTTCCAACATGTGTTTTCATCTCATTGTGCTTCCTTAACAAATTCTTTTTATTCTTTCTCAGCTCGGTTTTCATTTCAGGAATCTCTGACTCGATTTCAACAACCAACTCACATTTCCTGTGATGGATAATGCAGCATGTTTGGCAAACAGCTGTTTTACAATCTTTGCAAAGATATTTGATCATTTTATTCTTGTGAACTTTACAAATGACCTTTCTCTTGACCTTGACCCTTGTCTCTCCAGACAGGTCAACTACGTCATGGTGACGGGAAGAGGGCATTCGTTGGTGCATCCGTGTACATCGTTCACATAGTGCGTCGTCACAAACAGCACACCAAGATGTAGCTGGAGTTGTCTCCCCTTCCTCCTTACAATAACTGCAGTTAGTTGTATCTGAAATAACCATTCATTCATGTGTATATATTTACCTCACAATGTATTATAGGGATAGATGTGGAGATATTAACCTGGTGACATCAGAATGTATTATAGGGATAGATGTGGTGATATTAACCTGGTGACATCACAATGTATTATAGGGCTAGATGTGGTGATATTCACTTGGTGACATCACAATGTATTATAGGGATAGATGTGGTGATATGAACCTGGTGACATCACAATGTATTATAGGGCTAGATGTGGTGCTATTAACCTGGTGACATCGCAATGTATTATAGGGATAGATGTGGTGATATGAACCTGGTGACATCACAATGTATTATAGGGCTAGATGTGGTGCTATTAACCTGGTGACATAGCAATGTATTTAGGGCTAGATGTGGGGATATTAACCTCGTGACATCACAATGTATTATAGGGCTAGATGTGGTGATATTAACCTGGTGACATCACAATGTATTATAGGGATAGATGTGGTGATATTAACCTGGTGACATCACAATGTATTATAGGGCAAGATATGGTGATATTACCTGATGACATCACAATGTATTATTGTGCTAGATGTGGTGATATTAACCTGGTGACATCACAATGTATTATAGTGCTAGATGTTGTGATATTAACCTCATGACATCAGAATGTATTATAAGGCTAGATGTGGTGATATTAACCTGGTGACATCACAATTTATTATATTGGTAGTATTTTTCCTGTACCACGATTTGTCAAAAGACCGTCACATGATTGACTACAAAACACGATATTGAGTTTTCTGATAAATTACGATATTGACTTGGGTTACTAAAAATAGACAAGGAATACCGAACGAAGGGGCTTCCCCCGCTTTTCAGCCAATCAGATCACTCGGATAGATGGCACAGTGGGTGCATTAAAAGTTTATGTTAAAACCCGTTTCTCTTTCATTATAAAATAAAACAATTATAGACTCTTGTAGAGGTCGATATCGGTTTTTATTGACCTGAGAAAAATAATATCGACCGCGCAAGTTCGGTCGTTATTGTTTTACTCAGGTCAATAAAAACCGATATCGACCTCTACAAGAGTCTATAATTGTATAGTATTATAGGGCTGGATGTGGTGATATTAACCTTGTGACATCACAACGGATTATAGGACAAAATGTGGCGCATTATGAGGTGAGAAAATGTATCAGAAACATGAGAACACGTCTCAGTAATGTAAATATATTTGGAATTGTCTCATCCGTTGTTGTTCGGATGAAGAATAATGTTTCTGAGGTAGACCTTGGGTCGTGTCGCCTCTCACATGCTGTCTCTTGATAGAGAAACACATGTCCACTGTACATGTTCGTTTTGTACTCATTCCTTACAAACTACATCAGGAACAGTTTTATATATATCACAGGAGCCACGCATTGCTAAATATCTTCTAAGGTCCACACATGTTCCCATTATGTATAACTAATTATCCTGTTACCTGATCACAAACAACACGTATATTAGTACAACCCACAAACACTCACCTTTAGATCCAGGACCAAACGAGTCCAACAGTCCCTGGATGACAAAGATAGGCTTTACGTCATCCGCCCACTCCTCCACTGGTCTCTCGGGGTCAGACACTTTCGTCATCTTCCTGCAGAATGGACACATGAGAGACTTGGCACTGAGGGCTTCCGGTCTGGTTTTGGTGTAGTTGACGACACATTTCCGGCAGAAGGTGTGATTACACACAAGTGTACAGGGCTTGTCAAACACCTCTGTACATATGGTGCATGTCAGGAAGTGTTCTGTCAACTTCTGTGAGGTCGCCATCTCTCCTACAAAACGACAACAGGCACGACATGAACACACTATCCAATATCCACTGTCCAACCCATAACATTCATCACACCAACACCGACCATATTTGTAGTCCTGATATACAGACAGGTCTGAAGCTACAAAAAGCCGAGTCAAGGGATCCTGCACTTGAAACAATAAACGAATCCAGCTAAATTAAATCATAATTCCAGACGTACGCAGATCCTATCAACAATGAGAGCAAACATTCGTAGACGCATCTAAACTGACCCGTCTGTACTGTGTGTATATGATGTGTTCGGGTGCGTGTGCGTGTGCGTTTGTCTCTCTGTCTCTACGCCTTTCTTTTTCTTTTCCTGGTCATACGTAAAATATAGAACATCCATTACTTCACATATTTCACAGTTTAGTCCACCGAACGAACAAACAATCCTCTATTGTAGAAGCGTTAGAAGCTTGAAACTGGATGAAGTGACGGTCTGTTGGTTTGATTATTATTGATTATTTCCAACTTGTAAATTCCCTCTCTTGCCTGACATACTAGAACCGTTGAGCTACAAAAAGAATGTTTATGAGAACTTTTTAGTTCATGTAACACTGCCATGAAAGTTATGTGGTCGGTCCCCCGTGCTGTTGTATGAGTTGCGCTATTTTTCTAAGGGAATCTGTTATTTTCTGAGGTTGACAGTGTGTATATAACAGACTGTTTATGTTCTGGTGTCACGGAACACCATGAATATGTAGCCTGTCAGTGAGCACCTTGTCAATGGATCTTTGCAAATCGCCGTCATAAGCTTTACAACATGCAGTTCTGCACCGTGTAAAGTGTCACATGGCGATACCCGCTCATTACCATATCGAAAGTAGGAGACGTTAAGTTCGGATTCCGGTACATCACATGTCAGATAATGTGGTAATGTAGAGGGATTTTACCACATTTTGTGCTGTAGCAATTATCAAAGATCAATTCAGTAATAACTTTAACATACACACATGATACATACATCAACATACATCGGGAAAGATTTCAGTAATGAAGTCAACAGACCGATCAAGGAAGTAATGAAAGTAGACACTTCATACTCTATGCTCAGTCTAAACTTTGCAGTATATTAGGTGCCCGGATTTGAGAATGTGCCTGGAGATGACCCAACAGTTAGATGAACCATTGTAGTGTTACCTGTACACAGTAGGACAGGTGTGTAGCGTTATAACTGGAATAGACGCAGCCCCTGTGACAACACACTTACCCGAGACAGCTAGGTAACCGATGTAGAGGGAAACTGTGCACCAGGCGACTTCCGGATCAACTCGTGTCATTCAGGGACATGCTGTTTGCATGTTACGGAAAAGGACGAGTGATGCCGAATGGGTGATTGTGTTTTGAAATCGATTTGAACGCCCAGTGTTACGATTCCCTTATTTATTGGTTGCTGACTTATGGCTGTGATATTATTAACTAAATCCGTGATATTGCTGGATGACTGCATAACTGAATCACTCACTCACCCAGGAATAAATCACGCCGTTATCTTATTGTGAATGTGCTACACTCCACATGTTGTCTGTTGGTTGATTTGCATATGAAAAGCAATTGTATCTTGGAGAACATGAACGTTCATATTGACTCGTCAGCTGGTCACTCGGAACATCCGGGTTCGCTTCCCCAACACTGGCACGATGTATGAACCCCTTTTCAGGCGTCCCCCGCAGTGATACTGCTAAATGTGGTGTTAAATCACTCACTAACTTTTCTGAGGAAGGTCAAGACTTCACATTTATTTGTACTGACGTTTAATATCTAAGAGTAAATACTGGAAGTATACGGGACGAGAATTGTGTTGTGCTGGTATCAAAGAAGGCGACCAGAGACCGTCAGAGCTCCTGGACATGACACCCGCACGTTGACCCTCAAGATTACTGAATGATGTCGGTACACTCACAGACTTGTGTACAGATTGGTCAAGACTGACATGTGGTTAACATCGGTCACGAACTGTATGCTTCATTCACCATGAGATTCTGGTTATCAAGGATCAAGGAACATCTGTCTGTCGTACGTGGGGACTATATGAATAGGTTCCGTCACTTGGAAGAATAATTGTTGTCATACACGGACTGCTTGGGTGCTGCCATAATCGCAACCACTCGTTTATCCGGCCAACACTCGACTATATACAGATTGCCGTCATCAACATGTGGCTGGAAAACTGAGTGCTTCGTTGACCATCAAGTAGGCATGTAAACTGTAAAAATCTATTTACAACACACGGGAACAGCTCAAATGGTGATAAACTATTCATTCGTTCGCTGCACTTTATTGGATCCTTGCAAACCCAGGTTAAAATTGATTTTCAGTAACCTACGCTTGTCGTAATAGGCGACTAACGGGATCGGGTGGTCAGTTTCGTTCACTTGGTTGACATGTCCAAATTGTGTAGATCGATGCTCATCCTGTTGATCACTGGATTGCCTGGTCCAGACTCGATTATTTACAGACCGCCGCCACACAGTCGGAATACTGCTTAGTGCGGCATAAAACTAAACTCACTCACTCACACTCACTGTATTTTATTGCTCCATATAAATACGTCATCACGAGTTATCTCCCTTTCGCCACTCAGTTGTCAAGTCAATCCAGTAACAGGTGTTCATCTTGTTGAACAGAAGGCAGCTCAGACGTACCACAACATCATTTGACCGTACACACAACATCTGTAGTCTACCTGCTCTATCATACACTACCAATAACCGTGAGGTCTACCTGCTCTACATCTGTAGTAGTCGTGAGGCTACACTACCACTAGTCGTACGGTTCGTGAGGCTACACAGAGGCCCATATACGTGAGGCTACACTACCACATAGCAACGTGAGGCTACACTACCACTAGTCGTGAGGCTACACTACCACTATACTACCACTGACTCGTGAGGCTACACTACCACTAGCCGTAAGGCTACACTACCACTAGACGTGAGGTTACACTACCACCACCAGTGGTGAGGCTACACCACCACTAGTCGTGAGGCTACACTACCACTAACTGTGAGGGCTACACCTACCACTACCCGTGAGGCTACACTACCACTAGTGGTAAGGCTACACTACCACTAGTCGTGAGGCTACACTACACCACTAGTCGTGAGGCTACACTACCACTAGCCGTGAGGCTACACTACCACTAGCCGTAAGGCTACACTACCACTAGACGTGAGGCTACACTACCACTAGTCGTGTCGTGAGGCTACACTACCACTAGACGTGAGGCTACACTACCACTAGTCGTGAGGCTACACTACCACTAGACGTGAGGCTACACTACCACTAGTCGTGAGGCTACACTACCACTAGTCGTGAGGCTACACACCACCAGACGTGAGGCTACACTACCACTAGTCGTGAGGCTACACTACCACTAGTCGTGAGGCTACACTACCACTAGACGTGAGGCTACACTACCACTAGTCGTGAGGCTACACTACCACTAGTCGTGAGGCTACACTACCACTAGTCGTGAGGCTACACTACCACTAGTCGTGAGGCTACACTACCACTAGTCGTGAGGCTACACTACCACTAGTCGTGAGGCTACACTACCACTAGTCGTGAGGCTACACTACCACTAGTCGTGAGGCTACACTACCACTAGTCGTGTGGGCTACACTACCACTAGTCGTGAGGCTACACTACCACTAGTCGTGAGGCTACACTACCACTAGTCGTGAGGCTACACTACCACTAGTCGTGAGGCTACACTACCACTAGTCGTGAGGCTACACTACCACTAGTCGTGAGGGCTACCACCACTAGTCGTGAGGCTACACTACCACTAGTCGTGAGGCTACACTACCACTAGTCGTGAGGCTACACTACCACTAGTCGTGAGGCTACACTACCACTAGTCGTGAGGCTACACTACCACTAGTCGTGAGGCTACACTACCACCAGTCGTGAGGCTACACTACCACTAGCCGTGAGGCTACACTACCACTAGTCGTGAGGCTACACTACCACTAGTCGTGAGGCTACACTACCACTAGTCGTGAGGCTACACTACCTACCACTAGTCGTGAGGGCTACACTACCACTAGACGTGAGGCTACACTACCACTAGTCGTGAGGCTACACTACCACTAGTCGTGAGGCTACACTACCACTAGTCGTGAGGCTACACTACCACTAGTCGTGAGGCTACACTACCACTAGTCGTGAGGCTACACTACCACTAGTCGTGAGGCTACACTACCACTAGTCGTGAGGCTACACTACCACTAGTCGTAAGGCTACACTACCACTAGTCGTGAGGCTACACTACCACTAGCCGTGAGGCTACACTACCACTAGTCGTGAGGCTACACTACCACTAGTCGTGAGGCTACACTACCACTAGTCGTGAGGCTACACTACCACCACTACCACTAGTCGTGAGGCTACACTACCACTAGCCGTGAGGCTACACTACCACTAGTCGTGAGTGTGATACAGGGGGATCTCCTTGATACTTGTTGGTTTCAGTAACACATGGTCCAAGACTTGCAGGGCACCATTCACACACACACGGACATCTGCCTGGACAGACAGAACTGTTCCTTCATCACTCATCATGGACTACATCATGGTAACTGACGCATACCCTGACCCACTGACATGTCCAATGTAAATACAATATACCTGATTTGACAGTATTTGATATACACTCATCATGGTGTGAAATACCCTGAATATGTCCTGTAAATACAATATATCCTTAACCTTGATTTCAGCCAGGCAGTATTTGATATACACTACATCATGGTAACTGACGCATACCCTGACCCACTGACATGTCCAATGTAAATACAATATATCCTTACCCCTGATTTCAGCCAGGCAGTATTTGATATACACTACATCATGGTAACTGACGCATACCCTATCCTGACAAGTCCAATGTAAATACTATATATCCTTACCCTTGATTTCAGCCAGGCATTTGTTGATTACACGACAATAAAACCATAGTTAATGGTCAAACCTAATCCTGAATTTCCACACACGTTTTCTATTGTAACCGTTTTCAGACAAATACTTAGTTGCCCAAAGTGATCTTGAACAGCTGATGATATCAACAGCTATCTTGTATGTTGTCAAGTACATTATGTATATCTACACGTCGGGTCTTTGAATGGCATTTAGAAGTGATACACACAAGGAATAGAGTTTGATGAGTGAGTGAGTGAGTTAAAATTTAACGTCACCCCGGCAATGTTTCAGCCATATAGTGACGAGAAATGTTGGACATACACAATAAATACATGTAGGTAAATAACCAGTCATCGACGGACTGTAAAATAACTAGAGCATCACAGATAGATATAAAACTAGCATGGAAAACTAAAACATTTTAATTAAAGTAGACAATACGTTATAAATCACAGGCTATAGATCGCCAACAGCTGAAGGTAGATCACCATACCAGGAACCATGGGGACTTACATTACTTTTGCTACCTGCATGGACCCTAGTTGGATTTACACCTTCCCTTCAGCCGCTGGCGATGGTAGGAAGATTTAGCCGAAATTCAAAATAACAAATATACTACGATTAAAAGTATGGTTGAGCGAAATTGGCTTGGAAAGTTTTAGAGAGTTTTATGGATGTCAACTTCTTTATTATGAGGAACACAACGTTTCTGAGTATATCCTTACTCCTTCATCTGGTGAATGAATGATGAGAGGCAGAGAGTATATAACTGTACACGTCGGAATAAACACTGCATGTATCTATTAACACACGCGCGCGCGCACACACACGCGCACGCGCGCGTGGACGCACACACACACGCACGCACACACACACACGCACGCACACACACACTTACAATGTGTAGAGCCCCTTCTAATGTCCCCGCAGTGATTTGGCTGGGAAAGTGCTAAAAGCGTCTTGAAACCGAAACTCACTCACTGTGATAAAATATTCATTCGTTTGCTGTATTTTATTGCTCTTCAAAGATATCATAGTCCCAAGTTGGCAAAGCAATTCATGTGTATGCGTGCAATAGTAGCTTACTGTATCTAATTGGTGATCGGTTGGTCACAACGGCTGCTAAACCTTGACTAGTTTGGCTACTCTTGGTACCGATGAAATATGATCCCCCGCAATACCACCTCCACAGCTTGTTACCTTCTGCCGGCGTCTGCAACCACAAGATCGGAACTTCCGTAGGCATAAATGTGATCAGATTAACGTATGTAAGTTGTGACAGGTGTGCACAAAGATTACTGCCCTGTCATGCAGATCACATGTCTGTTGAGAAGAGAATAATAACAGGTGTTGAATACACATATCAATGTATACAACTAATATTCCAAAACGTCATCTTTTGGTGATTGTAAACAGCTTCAGCACAAAAGGTGGCAATCTAAACTTTCCCCTTGTTTTGGAAGCCTTTGAGGAAATATTCGCCTAAACGTCACAGAGAAAACATGCAGAGCAAGTAAGCAGATGAAATGAACGTTTTGTCTCTAATTGCATTCGACAGATCGACAGATTCGGTGGAGACAGTGTCATGATGTGGGATGTCATATCCAGTACACACAAATCTGGGAGGGGAATCAGCAAATCGGTAAAGTCCTTGCACGTCACATACTTTCGATTATGGACCGACGGAGTTGTTCCAGCTAGACAATGCTACTTCACATATAGCACGCGTTACGGTCCGCTACCTTGCCAATTCTAACGTCAGTGTCTTGCCATGGCCTTCCCGATCACCCGATCTAAACCCGACAGAACACCCATGGGATGAAGTCGATCGACGTGTACGTCAACGTCAAAACACGCCTCAGACACTTCTTCTAATGCCCATCACATTGCAGGAAGGAAGTTGGAGTGAGTGAGTGAGTTTTTATGCCACGTTTAGCAACATTCCAGCAATAGCGACACGGGGACGCCAGAAATGGGCTTCACACTTTGCGCCCATGTGAGAATCGTGTTCGGTGTGACAGGCGAATGCTTTAACCACTAGGCTACCCCACCGCCCCACATTACAGCTCAAGGTGAGTTCTTCTATAACAGGTATGGTTCGTTATATTCACATCGAAGTCATGGTTGATTTGTCAGAGTGAGTGAGTGAGTCACTCTGAATGAGTTAATGTTTAACGTCACAACAGCAGTATTTCAGCCATATGGTGTCGAAAACAATTTACACATTAATCAGAAATATGTTTAGACAATAAGATTAAACTCAGGAGTAAAATGGTATTATAATTCCAGAGGGCAATGTTCAGTGAAATGTTTAGACTATAAGTTTAAGCACAAGAGTAAAATGTTATTTCAGAGTGCAATGTTCCTACAGTGCTTCACATCACATCCCTCCAAGTAACATATAACTATGTGTAATTGAAAGGAAGGATTGTGACACGTTCACTCACTTACAGCATGTAAACACCTTCACTCCATCTGATGCACACAGGTACATACGACCACGACCACCAACACACAGTCCCCATGGATGGTGGACACCATCCTGTGATGTCAGTATGTTTCTGACAAACTGTCCTGACTGTGTCAGATGGATGACTCTGTGTTGTGAGGTGTCTGTCACCAGGATGTCGCCTGTGCTGGTACTTGTGATACCAAGAGGATCCTTCAGTGCTGTGTCTCCTGTAGGTCTGTACTTGAACACCACATCACCTTCGAGGGTCAGACACACGACACACTTGGTTCCATTGTCAGACACCAGGATGTTTCCTGTCCTCGTGGTACAGAGGAAGCAGGGACACAATAAGATGTGTCCACCTTCGTGGTCTGGACAAACTGACCTCAGCACGTGTCCCGACATATCCAGGATATCAACACAGGGAGGGGACTCGGCACTTGCTGCTAGTGCTGATGGTGTCAGAGACGTTATACCCCAGTACTGTTTGCTGGTTGTGATTGTCGACAGCAGCACCAGGTCAGGGTTCACTTCAACTGTTACAATCTGACTGGTATCCAGCACAGTGACAGCCACCTGGTTGTGTTTCAGCCTTGTTATACCCCATGGTCCACCTTCCAGACTGAGCTTGCTGTGACCTGGTTGACTGTTCCTGGTGTAGAAGGACTTTACACTTTTGTTGTTGCAGTCTGTAACTACCACTGTGTCTATACCATTCACCTCTAACACCGTCACGTCAGCGGGGGCTCCTCCACCTGCATCTCCTGCTACTGTCACGTTAATGGTGTCCTGTAACACAGGAGCAGCCTTCAGGTCCAGCACATCGTCATCCTGGACGTGTATCTCACCCAGCTGGAGATCTTCAAGTGCCCTACACAGCTTGTCCGTGTCCTGACCCAATGTCAGTAAGTGTTCTGTCAACTTCTGGGAGGTCGCCATCTCTCCTACAAAAAGATAAAACAGGCAAAACATAAACATACCAATATTTATTATCAAAAGTTCAAATCTAATACAGCTCCAGGGCCTGATGGCATTCGAAGCCAGTACACGAAACTATTCACCTGTGTCACTGTTCTCTTCTAGACAAAAGTGATGTTCCTCCATGGTTCTGCAAAGGTCACACAATACTCCTTCAAAGAAGGAGACTCGACTGATCCCCAAAACATTCGCCCTGTTACATGTTTGAATACACACAAATTAAATATTCACAGGGTGTTTGACAACACTTGTGTAATCTTACTGCTCTTCCAATGATATAATTTATAGAGAGCAGAAGTGAGCAAGGAAGGGATGTTGGGGTGCACGGATCAACTTCTTGTACAAAAAAAGGTTTTGGAAGAGGCTAAAATATATCACCAAAACCTCTCCATGTGCTGGATTGACTACAAAAGCATGTGACCCTGTCCCTAATGAATGGATTTTCAAGTCTCTTCATTGTATTGACCTCCATGAGAGGACTACTTGATTTACTCAAGTCTTTAATGAGTTGCTGGTCGACTCAACTTGAGATGTACTGGCAAGGGCAGGTGCAGACTTCGGAATCTGTTCAGAAGGGTATATTCCTGGGGATTCTTTTTGTCCTTTGCTTTTTGTTTGTCTTTAAATCCTTTGAGCTTTCTTATCAATAAAGAGGAGGGTTACCATCCCAGACCTTCTCAGCACAGATCTCCCAACCTCTTGCCCTTTCCTTTACATGGATGACATCGAACTTCTGCCAGAGGAGATATCAATTTGAAAGAGCAGTTCTCCTTGTCGAGTCCTTTTCTAACGATATTGGCAAGACATTTGGACTCGACAAATGTAACACTCTTCATTTGAAACGTGGCAAGGTAGTTAATGATGGATCGGTCAAGTTACAAGGGGAGGAGTCATTGAGCATCATGTGGAAGATCAGGCCTACACCTATCTTGGAATGCAAGTTGGAGACAAGCTCCAGAATGCCCCAATTCAAGACAAACTTCGGACCGAGTATAAATCTTGGTTAAAGAAAATCTGGAGCTCTGAGCTCAACGCTCAAAACAAGATCGAATCCACCAATACGTTTGCTGTGCCAATCCTTTCCTATTCCTTTGGAGTTGTTGATTAGACAAAACAAGACATTCAGAGTCTTGACCGAATGACCAGAAGGATCATTTCTGATAACAGAGCCCACCACCCTCGTTCCTCTCTTAATCGTTGATATATGCTAATCAATTATGGAGCACAGGGTTTGATTAATGTGGAGGGTCTTCATGATAGAATTCTATTGTGTACTTTGGCACATTTTACGTATCAGATGATTCTCTGGTGATGCATGTCAAGACTCATGATGAAAGCAAGGAATTCAATAGCTATTTTGAGCGTGCCAAGGTTGTTGGACAGAATCTGAAACATAAGGTTGATTTTTTTTTTTTAATGGCGATGTCCTATTGAACGGTACAGCGAAGGGAGTAAACCAGAGAAGTCTTTCAACAACTCTGCCCAGAGTTGGTGGTTTGTGGAGACGCTTTCTAAGAAACCATTGCATCGTGTGTACATGCAGTGTTTGGAACTGAACAGTAATTCAACAGACTCCTTCGCCTGGATGAAGTCGGCGGGTCTTAAAAATGAAACTGAGAGCTTCCATGTTGCTGCTCAGGACCAGTCACTTTCCACTCGCAATCGCCAAAATGTGATTCTTAAAGAAAACATCAATATGAAATATCGATTATACAATTAATTTACAGAGACTGTCCAACACCTTGTAAGTGAATGCACAAACAGCATATCTTAAACGACATGATGGCATGGCTCGGTGATTAGATTACCGTCTTCGCCAAGCCTGTGGCTTTGACTCCGAGGTCCAAATGGTGTTTTAAAACTTCTTTAGAGTAGGCCCATATACAGCCTCAGAAGAATTCCAGCCAACAAACTTGATCTTGTCTTTTTCATAAAGCCAAAGAAAATTATTTATATTATTGAATTTTCTGTCGTTTTTGACAGCTATGTGATTGGCAAGATTCAGGAAAAACATGCTAAATATGCGGACGTCACCTTTGAAATGTCTCGCTTGCATCCCAAGTACACTGTTGTCAGGCTCACCATTGTTCTTGGTGCCCTTGGTTAGGTACCTTCTGATCTCTTGGCGCAGATCAGGAGAATACCTGGGTGCTCTACCAGGAGCACAGCCCTTCTGACACCCTGTGTAATGCAGAAGGTTGCAGTGTTGGGGAGCCTCCATATTCTCCGGAAAGTTCTTGGTGGGTTCGACTAGGCAGCGCTTCCTGGGAGAAGTCCCATTCGCTGTCTGGGCTACATTATTAATAATAATACTTTATTGCCTTTTTAGGAATGTGTCTTACATCAACAGAGCTACTGACACATTGGAGAGATACATAACATATTTACATAGATTCGTAAATTTATGTATCTTCACATTCATTAAAAAGAGATATGGTACTTTGAAAAAAGGATGTACGGTCTCTCTTAGTTTTCACGACCCATGAAGATCCGGGTTAGAATATTGATCTTCAGCAACCTATGCTTGTCGTAAGAGGCGACTAACGGGATCGGGTGGTCAGGCTCGCTGACTTTGTTGACACGTGTCATCAGTTCCCAATTGCGTAGATCGATGCTCATGCTGTTGACCACTGGATTGTCTGGTCCAGACTCGATTACAGACCGCGGTCATATAGCTGGAATATTGCTGGGTGCGGCGTAAAACTAAACTCACTCACTCTTAGTTTTCACAATTGGAACTTGGTAGCGACGGTCTTGAGGGAGGAGGTTGTATTACGAATGTAAGTAGTGAGAATTTGGTCTAAATACTCTAAAATGATGACATCAAAGATAAATAACATTAAAATTTCTGAGTTTACGCATGAGATGAAGACACTTGACATTCAACAGTAAGTGGTTGTCTGCACACCAAGTCGTGAACTGATTAATGTCCTCTATATACAGTTGTTCGGAATCAGCGTTGCTCAGTTTGCCGACAATTGCTGCATCATCTGAAAACGTTTACAGTTAAACAGGTTGAGTTAGAACTTACACAGTCATTAGTGTAAAGGGTGAAGAATGGTGATTCTTTGTATGGATATACAACTTCGTTATTGTGAAAGGCGACGTTTCGACATAGATTCTAATGTCGTTCTAATGTCTTCATCACTTGCTTGACAACGATATTAAAATCTATGTCGAAACGTCGCCTTTCACAATAAAGGAGTTTTATATCCATAAAGAGTATCATTCTGCATCATCCCAACTTCTAAATTGCCCATCAAGGAAGTGTAGAGGGTGAAAAGAACAGGAGACATCACACAACCTTGTGGTCCACCAGTGTTGGTGGTCCGTGTATTCGATACAGTCCCGTTAGCTTTCACGTCTTGCTGTCTTACACTTCCTCCAAGTCAAGCACTCGATGAAAGTAAATATCCCCGCGAATTTATATAGAATGTGCAAATTTACAAGCGTTGGCCGATCAGAGGGCTTGCTTTGACCACACCCCGTTTGGTACGGACATATCGTCATCCATTTGCGTCAAGATCGTTTAGTTGAGTCAAAACCGGGTTTCAATCGACTTGCGGAATTAAGAATAACGAATTGGTAGGTGTCATTAGTGTGCTCGATAGGCCAATCATCCATGATTATATTTACATTAAGTTTTAATCGATTGCATGCAATGGTAGCGTAGCGATCGGCAAAGCAGTCGGTTTGGGGTGCACCGAAGCGTCCGGCCTTGTCATGATGTATTGTACTGTGAAGCATTGTTTATATTTTAAAAATCTTTAATCCTCGCAAAACACGAAGGCCTGTGTTCACTGCTGGGATACTTTATTACAATCACACAAGAAGTGCCGTTATTTTCAAATAACGGCATCTGATGGGCATCCACCCTTCCTAATGTCCCACTGTTTAGGTTGAAGAAATTCTGCCAAGGTGGACAGTAGCCCAGTCCCCGTGTCCGTCACGGTCGACGGAGTAGGTGCTGACCAGCCTGCAGCTTGGTTTCGTAATTAGACTGTTGGCTGGAAACATTAATCGCTCTGGATCAGTGCCCCTTTAACGCCCATGTCCACTATCCACAAAACAAACCACAACATTCATGCAACAACAACATTACACATAAACAATCCTGTATTTTAGAAGCATTAGAAGGATGTAGGATGAAGTGATAACATACACACGATACATACATCCACATAAATCGGGATAAATCTCAGTATTGAGGTCAAGAAGCTCATCAAGGAAGTAATGCAAGTAGACATAATACGCCGTGCTCAGTCTAAATATTGCAGTATATCAGGTGCCCGGATTTGAGAATGTGCCTGGAGATGACCTAACAGTTAGATGAACCATTGTAGTGTTACCTGTACACAGTAGGACAGGTGTGTGGCGTTATAACTGGAATAGACGAAGGTAGCCCTGTGACAACACACTTACCTGAGGCATCAGCTGACCAGTGTAGATGGAAACTGAGCACCAGGCGAGATACATCATAAAGGGTTGTTGACGTGGTTCCTTCCGGACCAACTCGTGTCACCCTCGCACAAGCTGTTTGCATGTTACGGAAAGGTACGAGTGTTGCCGAAAGGGCGATTGAATGCCCGATTCGGCTTCAGCAATATAGCTGGCATACCGACGACTGCATGATTACAATTACTTACTCGACAAGGGATAAATCACTTTGTTATCTTATTGTGGATTTGCTACACTCAACAAGTTCATGAAGCACCTGGTAATTGTTCATGTTGACTCTTCAGCTTGTGATACAGAAGATCCGGGTTCGATTCCCACGTGGGCACAACGTATATAGCCTTTTTCAGGTGTCCCCCGCCATGATACTGCTAAAAGTGGTGTTAAATCACCCCTAACTTTTCTGAGGAAGGTCAAGACTTCACATTTTTTTGTACTGACGTTTGACATTTAAGAGTAGCTACTGAAGTGTACGAGACGAGAATGTTGCTGTGTAGGTATTACAAGAAGGCGACCGGAGTCCATCAGAATTCCTGGACATGACATCCGCACGTTGACCCTCATGATTGATTAATGTTGGCATGTGGTTAACATAAGTCACGAAACGCATGCTTAATTCTCCATGGGATTCTGGTTATGGAGAGACTGTCATATATTAACAGGTGCTGATCGTCTTGAACAGAACGCATTTTGCCGGTACACTCAACTCTCCCGTGTGTACATGGCCCAGAAACATCCTAGTCTACATGTTTTACACCTGCACGATCTTTCAAACCCACAAAGGCCTGTCATCCATCTCAGTCTTTGGATATTAAAAGACGTCTACATTCCTCAATAAACACAATGCAGAAATATGCACAAATGAAATGGTTGAATATTTATTAATAAATAGAAGTAAATACAACATCTGGAGGATTACTGCAGGGGTGGAAATAACCCATTGCCAGACGCCCGAGTCCAGCGTTTTTTCTGTCGGGCAAGCAAATTTGTATATCACACTGTACCGGTGTCCAGTTGACTTTCCAATGTTAATTATGTTGTTTATTTAAAGAATCAACAAGAAAAACGGCCGGTATAGTGGAAAAATCACAAGGGCAAGTGATTTTACATGTGCCACTGTACCGGAGTACACTAGCAATTTTAAAGTTATTTCCACCCCTGCAGTGATTACATAATGTTTGAGAGAGAGAGAGATTTTAATGTTAACCAGTCTTTGATGTCATCATTTTAGAGTATTTAGACCCAACTCACTACTACTTACATTCGTAATACAACCTCCTCCCTCAAGACCGTCGCTACAAAGTTCCAATTGTGAAAACTAAGAGTGAGTGAGTGAGTAAGTTTAGTTTTAGGATTGGCTCTGCAACTGAGTGGTCAAAAGGAGATAAATCGTGATGAGATATATATGAGTGAGTGAGTGAGTTAAGTTTTACGCCACACTCAGCAATATTCCAGCTATATGGCGGCGGTCTGTAAATAATCGAGTCTGGGCCAGACAATCCAGAACTAGGAACTGATGACTTGTGTCAACCAAGCCAGCGAGCCTGACCACCGATCCCGTTAGTCGCATCTTACAACAAGCATGGGTTACTGAAGGTTCATTCCTAACCCGGACCTTCACGGGTGAGAGAGCATGCACTATATATGTACATGTAACAGCAATAGCAATAAGACTCCAGGCCCTAGATTTCACGAAGCTCTCTTAGTGCTAACATAGTCCTAAGTTAATGTTATGGTATGGCACTTACGACTATCTTAGCGCTAAGAGAGCTTCGAAAATCTAGGCCCTGCTTTGTTATGGTGTTACTTTGGTTGTTCTTCCATGTACGTATATATGCTCTCTGACTCAGGGAGGATATACCTTGTGTTCCTGATAATAAAGAAGTTGACATCCACACATTATTGCTCTAGCATAATTACATGTGACAAGGACAGTTTCGACAATGACAAATCTGCATTCCTCTGTCACTTGTGTCCTAACAGTCTCTATCACTGTCTACAGACAAACGAAAATGTACCCCTTCTAACTATCAAATAACCTTACACAAGTGAGAAGCAATTGTACGGCTTTTTAACTGGTAATGTTTATCACCAAACAACCCTACCGACATGGCAGAGAGCAGTATTGAACAGTAAAAGAGACACTGGACACTTTGGTAAAACCTAACTGTGTGGGTGGCAAACCTGGACTTCAAAGCCACAAAAAAAGTACACCCTATGAAAGTTCCCCACTGGCAACAAAACATATACCTATTTACCTGAAGACAGATCTCCAATCAGTTTTTAACCTATACTTTGTGTTACATTTAGTATCTAAGGGGCATCATTAAGATTTAAATACTATATCTGAAACATTGCTCTGATCATCTGATGTCACTAGGAATGTTAATCAGACTGCCAACCTGAGAGTTTACAAAACAAAAATCAACTCTTGGCATCACTTTTCGGTAATTTTAGTGTGAACATACATATAAAATGGGTTATATATATCACGCCTCCTTGAAAACACTAAATTTGACAAGACATGGGCAACAGACTTTCTGCTGAATTTGGAGCCAGACAAAATATCCTGTCTATATTTTGCTGCTATTAGTAATTCATTGTACAATTGTGATGATTTCTAGTGCATCAGAGATGATTCTGCATGGGGTGTTTGTTAGGATCTCTCCATGATAGCTCGCTTCCTCTTCCTGTGATTTTGAACCATGGCTGACATCACCAGTTTCTCGGTTTCCCTCTTCTCTCCCATCGGAGGAAATTGTTCAGTCCCTTCTGTCCAGCACAAAACAAAACCTTCTCTGTCTCGTCCAGTCGCTCAGTCAGTTGAGAGTTGTCTTCGTTCAAGGCATTCTGGGAAGAATCCATTATTTTACGGAATCTAGACTGGAAAGTCTGTAAATAAAATATATATATAAGACAATTTCAAAGTGTATGTATCAGTCAGATAAAAGGCTTGGGACATAGTCAATCAATGGATATAAACAGTTGCTTAAATCATGTGACACATGCCAAAAAGATGTCACTGATTAAACATGTAAATCTTATCCATCATCTAATGAAGTCAGTTATCAGTCTGGTTTACATATCTTGGGCAAAATAAATCAAATGTTGTGGTTCCGATTACAGCTCTTTAAAATTTAGTTAGTTAGGTAGGTAGGTAGGTAAGAAGGTTGTTAGATAGGTAGGTAGGTAAGATTTGTTTAAATTTTTAAGAACTAATAACATATTTATCAATGTTTAATTGTTCATTTAATCAAGCTTGGAGGCCAGCATGTCGACTCTCTATCAGAATGACTGATGTCCGTCGGTGCGGGGAATAAAATGGCATCTGAATGCTTATTTTATTCATACCGCTTTAAAAAAATAGGGTTGGCACCAGAACTCAAAGGGTCGGTTGGGTAATCGGAACCAAAACATTTTGTTTAGGCCTTGTATTTGCTAGTGTCAATCCCTAACATTACATGTTAAAACAAAGTCTAAACATGGTAAACAACCTCACCAGACACTGGAACAATGATCATGAATGTAATATGTTTCTAATAAAAAATCAAATCATTCCTCCAGACAGGTGGGTGTTTATATTTGCACTCAAGATAATAATAATAATAATAAGGTCATTTGTAATGAGCTGAAGTCTGCACCATGGAGGGGCACACTCAAAGTGCCAACATACAACCTGATCAATATTATCCCGGATGGGAACGGTCAAAAGGGCTGCATGACAAAAAGGGCTGCCAAAAACGGAAAAGTCAAAGGGATGCAAGAAAGTCAAAGGGATGCAAACCCTTAGTCAAAAAAGGCCGCATCAAAGGTCAAAAGGGCCTCAGACCCTAGTCAAACGGGACCCATATACAAAAACTTCATAGTAGCATCTTTTTTTAGAAGTGTATTACAGTAAAAGGTTATACATCTATACAATGTATATTTTATGCATACTAGTCCTGTTTTTAATAGATAGTTTTTCAATATTAGAAAGAAAATGATGACTAGAAAGAATAGATGTATGTAATGGTTATTTATTAACAAAAACACTTGTCATTTATGATTATGACAAATCCATACTAAGTCTTCATTTTGTAAAGATCTCATTCAGTTTACACACTTGGCTGGTCCTGTCAGCCTCAAGCACAAACTCAGCAGTTAAGGCCCTTTTAAAAATTTGACTAGGACCCATCCCGGATAACCCAAGCTGCCCGAGAGGCACTAGAAGGTTATTTAGGTTAATAATCTCATAACTTATCCACCAGATACCCATTTATTGTTATTGATATCATTATGATTATGATATGTAACAGGAATGTAAACATTGTTATTAATTGAAACAAACTGTATGGTGCAGATCATGTCAGATAACCAGTATGTACTTTCTGACAACCAACAACTTTTATTACATTTCATTCATTTACCACGATTATGTCACAAATATAAAAATTACAATGAGGTGCAATATTTCATTTTTCTATAGCATATAAAATTCAAACACAACTATGTAGAAACCAATTTGTCTATCATTGCAAATCAAAGCTATTTTGGAATCCTTGAATCTGGTACAGGCTGTGTCCGTTGCCCCATGTATGTCATGAGCTGCCTGAGGCCAAAAAAACAAATGTTATGGTTCCGATTTCCTACATTTCAGAACTAGGGTAGGTAGGTAGGGTAGGGTTTTTTGTTTTTTGCAAAATATTTTAACATTACTCACGTGTCAGAAAATAAATTTAATTTATTATGTGGTGAGTAAAATTGTTAGGCTCGGTGGGAATATTTAGGGTTGGTCGGGAAATCGGAACCACAAGCTTTTTTTTAGGCCTGGCGTGTGGAGAGAATGACCCACCCAATTTTGTGACCAATCGACAACCCTGGAAAATGCTCCACAAGTCCCACTAGTTGGCCTGGCCTTCACATCATTTGTACATGTACAGGTTTTGCTTTGCTGATTCCTGTGTGGATGGTGTGGAATACATTCTTAACTTGTCAGCACGCTAACAAAGGTTAATCTCTTCGATCATGTGGTTGAGGCATCCGACCTCATTGGTTATCAGGTCTATGGTTCAAATCC